CAAAAGAGGAATCTGCAGCAAAAACATCCAACCATGTGACAGTCATTTCACAACAGGCTACCCTACATTGGACTCTTATACAGCCACCAACAGTCTGTAAAACTTTGAGAGTCCCTCAGTCAAGAGGGACAACAGCAACTGGGTCAGAATCTCTTAAAAAAAGGAAAACCCAGGGAAAGAAAAGAATGTGTACCAGAAAACCCAACTAGGATGCTTCTGATCAAAGCCAGGGGCACCAAGCTGGGCTGTAGCAGACACCCCTAGTAACTAACCACATAGATGTAGATCCAAGAAATTCCTTTTGATTCTCTGGAAAGCAGGAGATGGACCAGAATCTCTCCTCATGTGGGCCCAGGTAGAGAAAAGAGGAGTCTGCAACCAATAATCCACCCAGGGGACAGTCATTCACAGCAGGGGGGCCTATATTGGCCTCTAATCCAGATTCCCTAACATCTATCCACCAACAGTCTATTGATCTTAGAAATTCCAGTGGTGGAAAAGGATAGCAAGAACTAGGCCAAAATGCTCCAAAAGGATGCCCCTGGGAAAGGAAAGTGAATAGACAACAAAAATCCACCTAGAATTCCATCCCTCACAGTAGGGGGGCTGAGGATAGGCTCTAGCAGACAACCCAGAAAGCTATCTGGAGACTTCACTCCATCCTAAGAGAAATGGATTGTACACATGGAAAACAGGAACTGAACCAGAATGGCCTGAAATCTAGACCCCGGTAAAGAGAAGTGGAATCTGTAACATCAAATCCAGCCATGGAAAATCATTCACAGCAGGGCAGCCAAACGTGGCCTCTAGTAAAGATCCCCTAAAGTCATTCCACAGAGAGTTGCCACAATTTGGAGAGTCGATTGATTGAGAAGAACATCAAGAACTATGCCAGAATCTCCCAAAAGGAAGTCCTAGGTCAAGAAAAGAGGAATGAAGAAAAGGAATTCCATCCAGGATGCAATCACTCACGTCAGGGGGCCCGAAGCTGGGCTCTAACACAAATCTTGTTGTCCCATGTTGTCCCATGAAGATACTGGTATCCACACGGAAAGCAGAAGGTCACCCAGAATCATGTGAAATGGAAACCCAAGGAACAATAAGCAGAATCTGCCTCATAGAAACCACCTATGGGAATAGCATTCCCAGCAAGGGGGCCAACCCTGGACTCTAGTATAGACTCCCTAAAATAGATGCTGGAGCAACCTGGGGATATCATACAGTCTAATGGTTCAGAGGGACGCTAGAATTCCCCAACAGAAAGCCCTAGGTAAAGAAAAGTGAATGGCCAACAGGAAATCCACCAGGATGTCATGAATCACAGTAGAGGGTCTGGAGCTAGGCTGTAACAGAGACCCCAGAAATCGATCTTCAGACTCCAAGTGTAGCTCTTTAGCAACTATGTCTTGCTGCCTCTCTTGGGATACATTATTTAAGCCTGTAAGTAAATATAGTATAATTTGAGGAGGGAGACCAGCTGGGGGGATTGGGAAAGGCTTCCCATAGGAGGTGGTACCTGATTTGATAAACGTTGTTTCCTTCACTGTCGTTGGCATACCGGCCTTTGGGACATTTTGAACTGGATGTTTTAAACTCAACATGTCAGAAACTGAACTCATTATCTTTTCCTCCGTATCTTCCTTTTTCTAATTTTCCTGTTACTGCCAAGGATACCACCATCCTCCTCGTCGCTGAGGCTCACAAACTAGGAGTCATCCTGGAGTCCTCACCATCTCTCACTCTCCACATCCAAGCTGTTGCCACAGTCAATTTCACCCCTGTAACATCTCCCGAATATGCCCCCTTCTCTCCTCTAGCACTGCCACCCTCCAGTGCAGGCCCTCACACCTAGTCATCTAGTGATGATACCTCGTACCTGGACTATCACAATCCTGGCTCGGCCTGCCTCAAACTTTCCCCACTCCAATCAACCCACTCAGCAGCTAAACTGATTTTTGTTGTTCAGTTGTTTTAGTTGCATCTGACTCTTTGTGACCCTATTTAGGGTTTTCTTGGCAAAGATACTGGAGTGGTTTGACATTTCCGTCTCCAGCTCATTTTATAGGTGAGGAAAGTCAGGTAAACTGGGTTGAATGGTTTGTCCAGGGTCACACAGCTAGTAAACATCTGAGGTTAGACTTGAACTCAGGAAGTCTTCCTGACTCCAGGGCGCTGGCACTGTATCCACTGTGCCACCTCGCTGCCCAAAATCGATCTTCCTAAAGCACAAATTTGATCATTTCTCTTCCCTCCCTCCCACTCAACACATCTCAGTAACTCCCTGTTGCCTCCTGGATCAAATATAAACTTTCCTATTTGTCTTAAAAGCCTTTGTAAACGGGCCCCATCCTGCCTTTACAGTCTTCTTATACATTGGTCCCTTCCATGTATTCATCAATCTAGTGGCTCTGACCTCCTTGCTGTTGCCCATACATGATTCTCCAGCTCCCAGTTCTGAGTGTTTCCCCGGCCGTCCCCCATGCCTGGAACTCTCTCCCTTCTCATCCGCCCTGAGGGGGCAGGTAACTCAGATGTGGAAGAGAATCCAGGGAAGGGAGGTGGTGAGGGGGAATCTCCCCACAGGCTCAGTGTCAGGGCTGGAGGAAATTTTCCTTCCTTGGGCTGTACAGCCCAAGTCTCATTTTACTTGGGGGGCAGCTAGGTGGTGCCGTGGATAGAGCACAGGCCCTGAAGTCAGGAGTACCTGAGTTCAAATCCGGTCTCAGACCAAACACATCACACTTACTTGCTGTGTGGCCCTGGGTACAATTAGCACCCAGAGAAGAGTCCAGGAGACACAGAAAGCAGTATGTTGCCAAACTGCCTGAGTGACCAATACATCCATTAATCAACCAAACAACAAGCATTTATAAACATCCCACGATGTCCCAAGCAGTGGGACACGTGCTGGGGAACATAGAGAGACAACATGTAAATCTACACACATATAGAAGCAATCAGCCTTTCAATAAGGTTTTAAGCAGCATACTCGAAGTGTCAGGCACAGGGCAAAAGATACAAAGAATAAAGCCATCCGTGTCCTCAAGGAGCCCATCTAGATGCATGTATTCACAAAACACGTAAGAAGTCTAGTTTTGGTGGGGAGGTGCAGGTTTTCCTGCCAGGGCCAGAAGGCTGCTCAGCATGCCCCAGCTCCCCTGAGGCCATCACTGCTCCTGTCCTCTCCTCTCTACCTGCCTTCTTCCTCTCTCATTCACCCACACCCTGCCCTCTTCTTCTTTAGGCTCCTCTCTCCCAGACGCCTCACAGAAGTGGACTGCTCATGTGACTTCACATCAGCCGCTCAGGCCCGGAACTTTGACAGGGCTTCTGCGTACCAAGAGGTCCTCAGACTGCCCATGATGGCACCCAGCTACAGAACTTTACCCTGGATCCAAACAGTCTCCTGGTGGATGGTGAGGGGCCCTCCAGCCTGGTCTCTCCGTCTGAACACTGACGAGCTGTGGGGTGGGATGAGGAGTTCCCGGGATGCTAGACTCCTGACATCTCAAGCCCAAAAGACCCTCCCTCAACATCCCCTGATGCCTGTACTCCCTCCTCCCTCTGACTGTGTCCCCCATCGCCATCCCTGTACCCTACAGTCATCTGTGTCTATGATCCCCATATCCTTTCCTCCCTCCGTGACCCCTGGAGTCTCTTTGTCCCCTATGGCCTCTCCATCTCTTGTCCTCTCATCCTCTTCTTCCTCACCCAGCCCAGCTCCCCAGATCACGACCCTTAGGTGTCCTCCCCTTATTCCATATTTTTCTGTCCTCAGGATGTTCTACCAAGAGAACAGATGAAAAAACTAAGAAAATTGGTGAGTATGGCATCAGCCTTGCCCCATACCAGTTCCCTGCGTGTGTATGTGTGTGTTGGGGGGGTGAGCTGAGGGTGATCCTTGAAGAGTAGAAGAGTGGGGGGAGGGCAGGAACTGAGTGTCCAGGATGACTTTCCTCTCACCCTAGCCAGCACTCAATGCTGAGCGACCAAGAACACTGTCTTGGACTGTGTTCATCAGACAAATGAACAGCGGTCATCCCTACCAATTGTCAGATCCCTGAGTGTATCTCCCCTTCCTGAGCACCCTGGGGAGGGCGGCGGACATGGGGAAGGTTCTGTCCCCTGCACCTTAAGTCATTCCCTGTCATTGGATATGATTCAGTATCACTGTCACCTTTCTCTGTTCTGACATTGGGTCCTTGCACTATCACCCTCCCTTGTCCCAGGTTATGACACTGGGGTCCCTGAACCATCTTTTCTGCCTTAAGTGACCTTCCCTCAGTTTGCCCAATTCCTTTTCTCCTATGTCCTGAGCCCCAGCTCCTTTTTCTAAATTCACTCCCATAGTCTGCCCGCCCCCTTTCTCCTAGGTCAGCTTCTTCTGAAGAGCAAAGGTCTGGTGGCGGGGGAGTTGGGAGGATGCTCTGGATTGGGTCCTTCAGCCTCCATCCTCCATTTTCCCCATGGATTGCTCTTTGTCCCCTCCCTTCCCATGGGGTGGGAATTCCAAAGGACATTTATTCCCCACTCTGTGCTGTCTCCTTGTCCCCATGAAGGCCCCTGAGCATCACCTCTTCCACCCAGCATGTTTGCTGGGTCTTAGCTCTGGGAAATAGGGTGTTTCTAAATACCTTGACAACATCTAGGGCCTTTCTGAATGCTCATTGATTTGACCTAAGAACTGTTAACAGACAGGGGTTCAGAGGGATCTGAGAAGTCATGTGTGACCTGAGGTAGGGGGACCATGAACAGCACCAGGAGCACAATTTCTGCTCTGATGATAGCACATTAAAAAACAATAGCTGGGGGAGCCTTCAGGGCTCTGCTCCAGGTCTATCCAGACAAGATTCAGGGTGAAGACTTTTCCTGGGGGGAACTTCAGTTGCTGCATGGGAGAGCTTGGCCACAACAAACAAAGAAGAGGGGGGAAAGTGTGTGTGTGTGTGTGTGTGTGTGTGTGTGTGTACGATACTAGGCAGCCATTAAGAAAGCAAAAATATGATCCCTTGGTAATAGAGACTAGTGAGTGAAGTGGTCACCCTTGTTAGACAGCTATAATGAGGGAGAACTTAAAAACAAACAGGGGAGGGCAGCTTGGGGGGGAGCAGTGCTCAATAGATCAAGGACCCAATGAATCAGTTTAAAACACGGAAAAGAGCAGGGTAGTGTTGTTACCACTGCATTCAATTTCATGCCTATTTTTGTACAGAAATGATCCCTAAAGCAGGCATTGCCAGTTTCATAGATCATCCTCTATGTCTACGGAAATGACTGGATTGCTGATGTTGGCCAAGTCTGTGGATAGACTGCACTCACCTGGGCTGGGGCTTGGCTGCTCCCAGGAGCCATTCTCTCTCAATCCAGGCTCCCTGTGTAGGTAGCAAAGTAACCAAAGTGACTCCATTTTGTAAAGTCCCTTCATCTTATCCCTGGACCTTATCTACCCCAGGCATCTGCTTCCCCCACCCTTTATGGCCCCGCAAATAGAGCAGCAGCCAACACTCTCACTAACTGATGTCCCAAGTAATCATGGGATGTTCTAATTCTATGCCTTTCTGATGACCATGAGACAGCCTGGAGCCACCTGGAAAGTCCTTTCCTTCTTTCCTTCTGCACAGAAAGCCCATCTGCCCCACCTGTAATCTTAATGCTGGGCTGACTGCCTTGGTGCTCATACTCCGGGCGTTTGCTGTTTGTTGGGCCTCGTAATAAAACTTCTAACTTCCCTCCAGCTTTAGTGTCTGGATTTGACCCAATACCTTCTTGGGGTAGGTTTTGTTCCTCTGCAGACTGAGCTGGGGAGGGAGAAGGATCCCAGAGAAGAGCTCTTTCTCCTCTCTTCATAGGCAGGAGGCTGCCCAACTGGAATTTACAGAGGGCAAGGTCCCATAGGAGTTAGGAAGACCCAGGCCTTGCCCTCAGGGAAAGGACTCCAACCTGTAGAGGGAGGGAAGCAGCAGGGAGGGTCAGGGTAGGAAATGAAGCTGATCTCAGAAGGAAAACTACTTCCCTCCTCTTACTTCTCTTCTGCACCCCTCTTTTCCCCCATCCTCCTACAGAGCCCTCAGAGGAAGATGAAGCTTGGGATCCCAGACAGGATGAGACCAGTCAGTCTCAATGACCCCTGAGACAGAGCTCTCCCTGGAACTGATCCTCTGCCCTCCCTGCATCCCTTCTCCTCAATTAACACACATTATTTAAACAATAGACTGACTGCTAGATCTAGCAGGGAGGGAGGTTAGGGAAGGCTGAGGAAGGGGAGGGCTCTGGAATGGAGCAGCCAAGGAAAGCCCGAGACTGGGAGACAAAACCCAGGCTGGGATCCAGCCGCCTGTGTGGGACCCGAGAGCTCTTAAAGATGTGGGGCTGGGGGAGCAGGAGGCCTGGGGCAGGGGAGCAGGGGTGGGATCTGGGAGGCAGGACAGTCTAACCCTGACCCTAAATGCCTCTGACTTTAACCCTAAATGCTCATGACAGGGAGGTCAGGGACACTTGATTGGAAGAAGTGTTCCAAATGGACATTAAGCTTGGGCAGGTAAGGATGACTGTGTCCTGAGGTCTAGCTAGGATCTGGGGAGGATGCCCAAGACCCTCTGGTACAGCTTAGGCTTGGAATTCCTCCAGGGAGCCAAATGGCTGGGATCTGATAGGGAACTAGCCCAAGAGGCACAGATTCAGATAAGGGGGATCAGGAAAGAGCTTTGGTTCCTGCCTCCAAGGTGGGGCTTGAGGCAGGAGGTAGGACTTGTGGATACTTACAGGGACTGGGAGTGAAGGCAGGATTCTTATGGGCAAAATCTGAAGTTTGGGAAAGTGTGACCCAATGAGAAATCTCGGGAGGGGGGGGCGGGGGAAGGTCAGCCAGGATGTTTAGGAAGTGATTGGGAGTCTGGAAAAGTTTTAGGGGCAGGGAGCTGGTCCGGTAGCCAGGCCTGGGAGGCATGCTTCTGGCAGACCTGGGGAATGAGACCCAATGGCAAGGACAGCAAACAAAGGTCAGGATGTAAGTGGGAACACTGGCTCAGACCTACCTGGGATCTGCATGCACAGAGTGGGCTTCTGGAAGGCAGAGCGATCTTAGGTCCCAGGGAAGGCAGAGAGAACTCAGGTCAAAAGGAAAAAGGAGAGAATCTGAGCTCCAGGGAAGGCAGAGCAGTCTCAGCTCAAAGACTTCCTGTTTCCCACCAGCCCACTCTGATCCTCCTAGTCCCAAGGACACCACCTGGTCCAACCCTTGAGGCCCCCAGGATGGTTGAGCCCTTTCCTCCAATCACACCCAGGGCCAGAACTCAAGGACCCTGACTGCCTCTCCTTCCCAAGACCACCCCTCCATCACGTGGAAAGCCTTCTCCAATGCAATGATCCCCTCTTCCCCCTAAACTCCTCCCAGCCTCCAAACTCCACCCCAGTGCTCCAACTCCCACCAGGCTGTTCATCTCTGAGAGCTCCTCCCCCCCAGTGCCTCCCCCACCTCCCTCCCTCCCAGACTCACCCCCTCCTCCTTCTGAGCAGAAACACTGCCTTGATCCAACTGCAGCCCCAGACTAAGTGCAAGTGATGGACTCTACACTTTGAGGAGCTGGTAGCAAATGGCTCTCAGGAAAATTAGGATCTATATACCATTTGCAACTGTAAATCCAGATTGGATCAGACTGAGTTTCTCCCAGTGAGAAATCCAGTTCTCCCTTTGTAATTGTGATGTTTGACCCTCTGCAAAAATATCAGACCTTAAGGGTAAATACACAAAATTCAGCATTGAGGCAATGTGATGAGGAACTGTAAGAATAAGAATTGAAAGTAATTGGGTCAGAATTACTCAATTCTACTCTGCAGTCTAGAGTGTCAAATTGAGAGATGAATGAAGTGAATTTTTTATGTTAGATAATTCACAAATGAACTGAATTGATGTCATTTAGCAATTTTTCATAATGAAAATCAACTCAACCCCTATGTCTTCACCATTACAAGATCAAAATGGAAACTTTGTCCAATTGTCATGTTTCAAAAAACTCAAATTAAAAAAAATTAGAACCTAGCCTTACACTCTGCATTACTTCAAGTTTTATACCTTGCATTAGTTGACTATTCATTCCTATTTATATTCTCCATCAGGAAGATCAGATTCCATTAAGGAATTAGTAACAGACTCCAATCCATAGTAGTTAATTTAAAACCACTGCATATCAAATAACAAAACACTCCCAACTTCTAGTCATGTACAAATAAAAATTCCTTAATTAAAATAGATGCTTTTTTCAAGGCATTTACAAGATAAGCCACAAGTTATTCCTCTTTAACATTAATTGTAACAAACTGAGACAACTTTAACATTAACTAAGTATTAACTAAGTCACAGAATAATATCCTAGTTCCACAGTGTCCTGGTCTAATTATCCCCTAATGATAGGGGATGGGTCCAAGCCAAGACCCTCACCCCTTTCCCCAGAAAGAATCTGGCTCCCACCAGTCCATGGGCCCCAACTCTTCATCTTCCTTTGAAAGCCCTAGCCCCACCCCTGGTCACCCAAAGTTTCTTCAGTGTATGCAAGATCCACCCTGGCCCCGATTCAAACGCTGAGACTTTCTCATGCCTGCTTGTCCTTATGGGAGTCACCTGGCCTATATGGTTTATCTACAACAAACTTTCCCCCTGACTGAAAGACCTGGGCTGAACTCCTTCTGGAGGAACCCTTGTGCTGTGACCTGGGAGTTCCAGTGCGTGCAAACCTCCAGACCTCATCATAACCATTATGAGAAATTAAAGGATCCTGACTTACACAGGAATATACTAGTAACAGATGTCAAGACTAAATACTACTCTGAAATTCCAGGCCAAATAACTCAAACTTATACCTGCATCTTACTATAATAACCTCAGATGTTCCCGCATCAACCTATTGTTTAATAGATTCGATATTTATGCTGACAAACTTATGATTGGAGGAATTTGCCATGAAAGAACATAACTAAAGTAAGGGAACAATGCTTCCCTAGAAGGGAAGTCCTAGTTCATGTCAACTCCAGGCAGAAGTTACATATATATGACCAACTGCATTGAGCCAGGTTTAAAGTCTGCCAGGTGTCACAGTGGGGAAATTGAGTCAGCAGAATCTTACCTCAACCAATGCAGAAAAGTCATTCTCCCGACCTTCCCATTGATGCGGTCTGGAGATTAGGGGTTCTGGCACCCCAAAATCACGATACCTGGGTCCTGCCCGAAAGAATTTGACCCAAGCCTTCTTGCAGCCAAAAACAAGGTTTATTGAAGATTCGCCATATTAGCCAGACTCTTAAGGAGTCTGAGCATCTATGGGCTATTGGCTAGATTGTGAAAATCTGAGCATCTAAATGGAGACAAGATGGACCTTATATACAGAAAGACTGTGGGAGAGTGGCCAAGTAGTCCATGAGGTAATAGAATTCCCAAGAGTGGGAAATGGAGCCTAGGTGGGACCAAGAGTGGGAAGTGGTCTGGGGCCATAGGGAGGCACCAGTTGATGGGACTATAGCCTCAGGGGAACGCCAGAGATTTGGCCATGTGGGAAAGTCCAGGGTTTTTCCTTTCTGGGGCTCAGATTCCAACCCCATCACCATGAGAACACCTTCTTGCAGCTCATAGATGCAGCTCACAAACCTCTTTGCAGGTTGCTGACGTCATGGGTTAGTAGCTCAATCAGTTCCTTGTTAACCATCCCTGGAGTTAAACTCAGAGCAACAGTTCGTTAACAGTTTCCAAGGTCTTAGATAGCAAATTCCCCTCAACAGAGCTTCAGGTGTGACTATAATTTCACATTAATTAGGGAACATCTCCAAAGGGAGCTCTAAGTAGTTTGCATAACCTCCTACACGTATTCTGGTTCCTAATAACATCCTGAGTAAAATCAAATTTCGTGAACATAAGAATGCTCTTGATCAGCTTTAGCTGTCGACACAGGAAGGGGCATTCTTAGCTCACTCAGGAAGAAAGATCAGTTCAGGTTTTTGGCCCTCATTGGGGCTCAATTGATCTTAAATGATTATCACCATAAAGTTCCTAGTTACCTGATTTCTTTAGTCCAGAGGTGTCTGCAGTGGGCCACTTAATCAGTTAAGAGTTCCATCTCACAAAACTCCTGCACAGGATTGATAAGAATTGAGATTCTACAAATCTCTTTCTTTGCATAATTACATAGTTTCTTTACCCACAAAAATACTTCTACCAGTACTTCACTTAAACAATAACTCCAAATAGCTTAGTTAACAATTTTCAACTTCACAAGTGAGAGTCAAATAATCCCAGCTAAAACTTTCCCTTTAAACATAGACAAAACTTTGAAGTTCTCATTTCTTAAATTACAGTACTTAAAAGGAAATGTTACAAAATAGGATCATATAGAATACCCCAACAGCGCCACTCATTCCTTTTTCTCTTTTCTCTGAAGGCACAATTCTTAATCTAACATTCCAGATCATAAAATAAATTGCCCTTCCAATCAACATAACTAACACAATTGCTTACCAGGTTATGTATATAAGAAAATTCAGAACTATGTAAGCAGTATATTAAAAACTTGAAACAGACCCAATAAAAATCTTTCTTTCTTTCTGGACCCCTTCACTAGGTCCAACAGCCTGCAGGGGCCACTCCCACCCCTATAGACTGGCTCTTTTTTTTTTTTTTTTATTTTTCTAAGCAAGCCCACCATTGTCTTTTTACTGGTCTGATAGCCTTGGGCCACATCCAGATTTTAGCTCAATGACACTCCAAATCAAGGAATTTGGTGGATGGGGGGCTTAGGTTTCCCAGGCTTGCCAGTCCCTGCCTTAAGAGCCTAGCCCTTATGGCCCACCCTCAACAAACCCAGTCTTTAGCCTAAAGAAGGCATGGGTTAAAAAAAAATTTTTTTGTAATTTTCTAATTGAGGCCCTGATATATGAGAATATTTCATTACTTCCAAATCAATACACATCAATAAGTTTTTCACAATAACATATTTATACCACAGGGCATACATTAATAGAATTATTTCCACAATTATAATAAACTTTGAAACAACCCATTATCAATTTACTTGAATGCACTCCTAAATCACTTTGCACAGAGAATCATTCATCTCATCATTAATATGTTGAGACTATAACTTTAAACCACCATATTTTTATAATAGTCAAGATTTTAAATGAAAATCTGCTTTCAGTCTTAGAACCAAAAATACCTCACTATGTCTTTAACAGTTTCAAATTATCTCATCTTGTCACTAAAGATAAAGAGACATCTCCACTCTTTATCACTAAAGACCGATTCCAGGTCAAGAGTTACTTTAACACCATTTCTACCTCACAATGGTCCCTCAGATTTTACAATCTAAGAATTTTAGAAGTACAATACAATTTAGAAATACAGTAATAACTTAAACAATAAACTTCAGATAACATCAATTGCATTTCCATGTTATCACATACAGAAATTATCACTCTCACTCTTAGCC